CCCGCCTCCTAGGCCCCCTGCAGCGCGCCCCCAGGCTCGCTCGCTGCCTGGCCCACCCCAGTCCACCCGGCCTCCACCGGCATGGGTTTCCCCTGGCCCTCCTCCACACCCCCAGGGACCTCTAACACGGTTTGGCTTTCCAAGGCTAAGGCCCAAACTGATCAGGAGTCCGGAGTCCTTTTGGGGCCAACAGCTCCCCAACACATAGGAGTTTGAGGATGCACCTTCCCTCAAATCCCACCTTCCCCAATCCCGACCTCATTCCTAGAGGGAGGGCATTCTTACCAATGACACTCCCTGATCTTTGGGGGGGGCCTTGAAGCCCTCTGCAGTTTACAAGGCATTTTTCATAAATGAGCACATTCACAGTACAATCTATTAAATTGCCAATTATTAGGCGTCCCCACTTTACAGATGCAAAACCCACAGTTCAGAAAGCAAAAGGGTGGGGGGTACTGCCTCTGACTCCTGTCCCCAGCTCGGAACGTGGTAGGGATACCGGAGGGAGAAGTTTGTTTTCATTTGGGAGGGTAGTGTGGTGGGAAGAAGAGAGGATCACAGGCCTGCCTTAGGCAGGTAGGGATGCATGCAAATTGGGACAAAGGCTAGAGAAGTTTTGAGAATTAGCCAAAGCAGAAGTTTGGAGGTCCTATGGGTCCAGTAAGATCCAGATTCCTACTCGGGGGCAGAAAGATTCGGCAGCAAATTGGTTCACACAGGGGGGAGGGGGGAGACATGGTGTGGCAGGGGGAAGACCCTCCCCTATTAGGTGACCAGCACTCTTAATGCTACTTCCTGAGCAAAGCTAGAGAGTAGATTCCCCCACCCAAACAGCCTGGTCCCCCCACCCCCCTTCTCTTCCTGTGGTCCCCACAGCTCACTTCTTGGTGAGGTGAGAGAAAGGCTGGGCAGGGACACAGTCCTCTCCCTGGCAAGGTGGCTGTCTGTAGTGCTCTCCCCATTCCTTCCCAACTCTGGGAGTCAGGGTTTGTTTACCTCTCAGCAGTGTGGTGACAGCCAGGCCCAGGGGAGTCTCCCTGAGATGCCCAGCCTCCCCCCGAGTGACACCCCTCCTGCCCCCCCCTTCCCCAGGGACCCTACCAGGAAAACACAGACTGTTCCATCTGTGTGCAGAGGGGAGGGGAGGCCTCTCACAGAGCTAGGGCGATGAGGCTGGGAGTGCTGGAGGAGCTCACAGATTTCCGCAGTGTCCTCTTTCCTCTTCCTGTGAAGGACTGGAACATCACAGACCCTCCCCGCCAGTGGAGCCCCAAGGAGAGTTCCTGTTGGGGGCCTCTGAAGGCCCTCTGGCATTGGCAGGAAGAAAGCCCGCCTGCTGGGGTTCTCTGCTGAGGCTTGCCATGGACGCCCTGGGAGCACTTCCGATTTCTCAGCTCTTATAAACTCATCTAGAGGACATGTGCCTTACGGGGAAGGGGGGTACCCTGAGGGGACCAGCACTAGGACCTGTTAGAGGTCACCTGGAAGCAGAGTAGTGAGACCAGGCAGACAGCACCCTGGCCATTCAGAGTAATGGCAGCCTGGGTAATGGCATTGCAGGCAGAGAGCACAGGCTGTCCATGTGATCTCTCTGGGTTTCTAAGGAACCTGCCCTGGGTCACTATCCCCTAAGCATGGGTCGGAAGTGGCTAGGGTACTGTTTAGGGTCCCACCAGGCTGGAGTCCAAGATAGCAGGTGGGCTCTGCCATCTCTAGTGACATGTGCCCCAATCTACAGCTCAGACCCAGGGGAGCAGGCTACTAGACTGAGTTGTGAGGAGGGTCCCTTTCCTGGTGACAACAGACCGCACAGCCCTACTCCCCTTCCCCTGTCGCCCCACACCCGCTCCTGCTTTGACCTGTGTCAGGGCTCCTCATTACTCTAAGCTGCTGGGCTCAGCCCTGGGTTAGGCTGCCCTTTTCCAGAGACTGTTAATCTATCTCCCCCCTCCCTCCTCCCTCCTCCCTCCTCCCTCTTCCTGATCTCCCCTAGCTGCTTCCTCCATGGGGAGGAGACACCAGGCAACCAGTGGGCCTCCTCAGCCAAGGAAGGGCTGTTGGTCCCCTGAGGCTCCCCACCTAGCAGCTGTGAAGGAGCAGGTCCAGATAGCGGGCCTACGTCCTTTCCAGTCCTTTCCTCGGGGTCGGGGGAGGGACTGGTGTCCTAGCTGGGCACCAAGGTCCATGCAGGCAGCCCTGATGTCTTTATCTGGCCTGGGCTGTTTGAATGGGCAAGATTTCAAAACATTTTTAGGGTGAGTTGTGGGGGGTGGGGGCAATAACAACACTGGCATTGCTAAACTGGGACAGGAGACATGGCTACCCCAAAACAAGTCAGAGAGCAATAACCCTGACCTCAAACCCAGGGCTTCTCTTATATGCACTCCTATGTTCATAGCAGCACAATTCACCATAGCTAAGATTTGGAAACAGCCTAAGTGCCCATCAGCAGGTGAGTGGATTAGAAAACTGTGGTACATCTACATGATGGAATACTACTCTGCTGTACAAAAGAAGGAATTCTTACCATTTGCAACAACATGGATGGCACTGGA